CCCAACCACTCTACTCCGTGTCTCAAGCCGATCTCCAGCACAAAATGAAAAGTGGATATGAGACTAATTCAAACAATACATTAAGAATGAATCATTTCCCTAGTTTTGAATTTAGTTCAATGAAGGGAAAATTTTGTAGTCATTAAAGAATTGGTGAATATCTCATTTTGGGTACCCAAATTGTATGTAAGTAGTACTTACATAATTACATATATAGGTACTTACTAAGTACCTATATACACGGGCAGATCTCAGTATCACACCTAAGGCAGTTTATGAATATTGTCAACATACTAAAAATTATAGTCAGTGTTGCTTCCTTCAAATGTTATCACTTTGGTTTATTTTGCTTCACCTAAGAAGAAAAAAGACAATAGAGGTACAAAATAGCTGCATACATAGTATTAATAATTTAACAGCCCTCTTTTCTATAAATGAATCCACTCTTCTTAATTAGCCTCAAGCTCTCGAAACTAGCAACTTCATCAAATATTTGTTCACGCTATAATATGAACATAAAGTTAAAGAAAGCCAGAACACCGTAATACATTAAATAGAAATAGGGAATGAACTGAAATTTATTTTAAGCAAACACGAACACGTTGGAAAGTTGGAGTTTATAAAATATTTATATTACTAGGTTATTCCGTGGTGCCCGTAGCACCAAACCTGATCCCGGAATCAAGTTGTCAAAACTTAAATACTCATAGGGATTCATAAATTATATAATTTCAGAATTCCCCTCCTGCTAGAAATTTTAATTACCCTCGTAGCTTTATATACGCGCATTCCTGTCCAGCAAAACGTATCCTATGCATAAGCTTATAGCGTATGTGAGCACCCCACTTTAAGTGCAAAATATATTGTTCTATATATTTGATTGGTTTGAATCTGTCCAGACTCTTTCTGTAGCCGACGATCTGGCCTCTGATGTGAGCCTGCACGGCCAGATCCTCCATCCATGGCTCCGGCTGCTTATCTGGCCTTGGGGAACCAAAAATGCAGGCACATACTGCATATGAGGAAAAGACGTATTACGTGAATGCCCCACTTCAATGCAAAATAAAGCATTACAGGGCTGCGTTACAGATAGACAGACCTGGATAAATACATATATAAGTTAATAGATTATATTATTATTGACTACAATCATTATTAAGAATCAAAGCCTAACCTTATGAATGTGCTTCTAAATAAATATATCTTTAAAATAATTCGATATGCCAAGACGCAAATTTAAGTTGATTTCACTATGTAAATTTTATTTCATACTTTTCTTAATTATTTCAAAGCTCTCTCGCAACTTTAGCAAATATTTATTCACGCTATATTACGAAGACAAAGATAGACACATACAAAGATAGATGTATGGCATGACCATAATGATACCATAAAAAGACGCAATGCACTGAAATTTATTTTAAGCAAACACGAATTCGTAAAAAAGTTGGCTATAAAATTTTTATAAACTAAAATCATTATTAACCATCTAAGCCTAACCATAAATAGTTAAATAATGCAGAATGTATTTTTATTTATTCTCAATCCAGGATAATTAATTTACAATCGATGCAAGGTTTAGAATTTATAAAAATCACAATGTTAATCCTCCTTACGTCCTTACACAAATATATCGTTCTGGGCACCTGAAACAAATATTTCACCAACATTACAATCATACTTAATTTCCAGCACCACTTCCAACTAACCAGGAGAGAATCCCCAATCTGGGCTGTACGACACAAAGTCACCATTTGAAGGTAGCTCGATATTATTTCCCTCAGCCTCTACACATTAAATATTTACGGATCAATTATCATCCTGCTAAACTATTTACAAATATTTTAGTCCTCAACTTACGCCTCGTCACAATCATTTGCTTTGCTCCACGGGTACATTCGTTGAAGTTTGGACAGTACCTAGGGGGTGGGCGGGGGCAAGTCGTCTCGTAGACGTTGACCCTGTCACCTTGCATTTAAATCCTTGCATGTACCTGTAGTAACAACCCACATTTGATTTTAATTACTCCACCAGTAATTATGCATTTTAATGTTCCTACTACTAACTCACATGTTCCGCTCCCCACATCCCTTTGGCACCCACAGCCAGGCACAAGTACACCCATCAGCCGGACAAGCTGGAAGGTCCCTAGGAACTTGGTAGGTGGCAATACGTTATGGGGTACTGGAAACCAATAAAATTTATAATAATTACCATTCATCCCATTACTTCCACATTTATTTTCCTTACTTTGGAAGAACCGTGAAAACCACCAAATTCTCCATCGTCACAGCAGATATATCTGACGCATAACTAATCGCAAACGCCGTCCCAGCAGCCATGCTCTGGTTATTCGTGTGCATCGCCCCATCATCCTGGATGCAATCTGGCGGATTCCCTGGTCCCTTCCAGTGTTCTGGATGTTGCTGACCGTCTGGCCAGTCAGAGGCGAACTCTCCATTGAACGACAACGTCGTCTGGGCACGATTGTGTGCCAGCTCGACAGTGAAACTGCCTCCAGCGGGCAACTCCAGGAAAACGCCCGGTGCAGGGGGCGCCCTGTCGCACCCTCTATCAGCCTGGAACCACAATTGTGATCTCGGTAGATTGTAGAGGGGAACTACAGCATCGCTCGTGTGGGGATTATCTTGACTGGGATCTGGTCCCCCGTGGCAGTACATGCCGGGTGCAAAAGCGGCGGTGTGGGCATTAGCGACATTGCCAAATGCCGCTAGAGCCAACAAGCCCACGATAAACATTACGTAAAATTAATTGGTAAATCTCTGCAAGCAAAACCTTGTTGATTATGGAAAAAAACCGACTAATGGGTGATGTGGAGTCTGAAGTTGGAGTTTAAATACTTTCCGGGTCTGGATGGACAATACTATAAATAATTTAACCCATCACTTCTCCCATCATCAATCAATCAATATCAAAATAATCAGTAGTAAAATGTATGATTCAGAATTAAATCAGTATATTAATTGAACACGAAAACGAGACGTGCCACAAGTTAAAACTTAAGTATACAGCTTAAATATCACATGCAGTTAACCACAAGCCGTGGTCAATTTTGCACACTGCAAAACAAATTACTTCATTCAATTACAACATCACAATGGAATTTATCTTGCGCCACCTTATATTAAGTCAATATGTAATGGAATTCTACATCATGTGTTAATCACGTTGACACATGATGCCTGGTCATTGAATTTTTGTCCATCTCACTGTTTGTGTGCACTGTAATTCTAAACTTTATATTAAATGATGGTTAAACCCTGTAATTAAACAGCTTCTAAATATTACCTACATACTCTCAACTAAACCCTCCTCCGTGACATCTTTAGGCATTCGGACTCCAATCGCATAAGTCACCCTTATCAGACACGTTTTCAAGTCTAAAAGTAGCCTCCATTGTTCATTGAGTCGACAAAAATAAGAAGAAATTTTCTTCATGGACAATTTCTGCAATATTTTATTAACAAACTCTCATTGTTTTTATTTCCACTATTGGCACAAAGTACGTATTGGTAAAACCCAAATCCCATGTCTCATAAATGTTACATTTAATTATAGTGTAGATTTACGTATTTAAATTTCTATCGTTACTGGTATAGTACTTGTGGTAGTGAATATGTCCTGTAGATTTGTAGCTTAAATTGAAAAACATACTGCATTTTTAATTAAAATGCAGTAATTAAAATTTTTAATATCGGTCTGGAATCAAGCATAATGAAAAATAATGAAATTAAAAACTTCACATAAATACTTTTTTATGAGCCCCAAAAGAAATATCAGCCTCGTCTGAAATTTTAATATAGAGGTTCAGATCCAAACATATTCCATTTAATATATTCATGTAGTTTTATAATGCTTCCCATTTTTACAAATCAGTAAGAACAATCAACACCCACGAAGAAATGGCTTCACTTTCTTTCCATGTAAATGTAACAAAATTTTAATTAAGCAAAACAAACAACACGCTTCCAACCTCTGCAACACGCTTCCAACCTCTACTTATCAACCCTCGTAAAATGCCGGAATTTTAAATATGTGTCAAAACTCCAATTTCGAAACGATTATTCACAACTCAAAATAATCTGCAGAGCCACCACAAACTTAACTTTGAACAAATCCCCTCTTAGTTTAATGGCGTTTAATCCCCCCTATGCTCAAAAACATGATCCTAGAGACTCTCTTCGTCTTCAAATCCAGAATATGTTAGCATTGTTTTTCTATTTACTCGCACAGCAGATACATTCTGGGTCGATTTTTCTTGACATTAACTAACTTCTCATATTTCCACGAAAATTGCGAAAAACGATTTTCACAAGACAACTCCAATGTTTGCAAGAGTCATATTTCCTTATTTATGGAAAAGGTGCGAATAAATATTAGCCATACCAATATTAATTAGCCCACCTATTACAATCAACTATCAATTTTGCTTAATATTCATTAATAAATTCAGTATCGACCGCTGTCTGTAATTTCTGGTCACTTATTATTTTCCACCGTGGCACATTTAACAGTGGGTAACGATGTCGATGCAACGTATGGTCCTGTTTTCTTGGATATATTTATACATATCACTGTGGCTCTCATATAGGCCAAGAAATTATTTTAAATTAACCCATAATTAACAATTTGTATAGTCGAATAGGTATTAGTGCTTCATTACATTGCAAGTTCTATTATGTATTACTTGGTCTGGTGAAAACTACTTCAGCAATATTCTACTAATTATATTTACCATATCAATTTCAAATCAGAATTACATTCTTGTTCTTCCCACTATCCATTCTGAATTTGTATAACGCTTAGTGCCATCCATCCTATTAAAATTCTGCAAACTGGAATCAGCTATTTCATAAATATAAGTGTCAGAAATATGTACATTGGAATACACTAACTTTCTTCTCGGCACGACCTCATAAAGCAATTGCACAGAATCACATTTTATTTTATTCAGATAATCAGAAAAGTTTGTGGTTTTATAATATTTATTTAAAAATTGAAATCATTCCATAAAAAGATTAAAGTCGTTACGTATTTAACAATGTACTTTTAAATATTTATAAATATCTTTAAATTTTTTTCATGTGTAGAATTTACATATAAATTGTGGTGGTATTGTATTACATAATATTACGAAATTTTTATTGTACAAGTTAATTTTGTATAGTAATTTGTACAGTAAGTCTTTGCTAAGCGGAGAATGTAGTGTATTTATGAGTTTGCATCACAACAAATTTATTTTAAAACATATTTTGCAAACTAAAACTTGGAAAAGCTCACAAATCTTTTTGCAAATAATTTTTGTTGCAAAATTTGCGGACTTAATACCTCCCGCAAAAATAACTCATTACTAGAAGTTTTAAATCGATAATCAGCCTCCAATTCTATAAATTATGATTAACCCATTCAGATTATCAAATATTTAGATTAAATTTTCTTAATTAACAATTACTAATTATTAATTCCAAATATTTCAATCAAAATTTGCAAAAGCCAAACTTCATTTTTCAAACTAGTAATATTACTAATTAAGCTTAACAAGTCCGAGTAGAGTTTATACATACTCAAACATTTACATCCAGCAACCATTTGCACACAGTTAATCGACAGCGACTAAATACCACAAATCCATTTTAAATAACTTAATTGACACTCATTTTTAAATTTATATAACCCCGCTCATGTTCAACACAATAAAACTCTATAAATTAATAATTAAATTCCATTAACTGATTAATATTTAAGATTTAATTAGATTTTACCCCTTTACCAGTAATCCTTAACTGAATCACCCTTTTACATTAGTTGGCTTTGTCAAAACCGGTGTCACATCCGCTTTGAAACTCTCCCCAAGAAACATGCTCGGAATATTATTTCCAAAATACATTTTCGTATTTGTCGTAATGGCTTCAATTCTTTTCAGTTCGAGATACTCCGGCGTCAGAATTATGGCGTTTCCTTCCCCCAACTTCTCCTTCCTGTACCGCTCCGCATCCGCCTGCATTTTTTCTCTGTTGAAATACATTTGATCTTCTATGGCGGCCATGGTTTTCAAGGATTCCTTCTCCAGGACGCGCTGTTCCAGTTGGATTCTGGCCACTTGTGCGTTCCGCTCAGCCTCAATGACGGCCTTCTTCCGGTCCGTTTCGGCATCCTTCTCGACCACTTTTTGTTTCTGAGTGGATATCAGGAGCCTAAGAAATTATATGAAATAAAACCGTCAGGTAACCTTCGCATAGCCCGAGAAAACCAAATTATAACATCAAATCCAACCAGATCAATTCTACTCCTGGTTAAAATTATCTTCAAAACCAAACTAAGTTTTCAAATTTGCTCTTTGCGTAATTGAAATATTTACCAAAGCATATTTAAGGATGCAGGAAATTTGATAAATATTTAAGTATCACCGCTCTTACTTTGTCTTTTCAGCCTCCATCAACTCATAATTCCTCTGTATGTCGTGCGGAATCCTGGGCTAAATTTTTAAGAAAGTTGTGAAATACTAACATATTAATGACGCTCTTACTTATGTATCTCATTAGTATTTTACCTTCGTCACACGAACTGCCTGGATATGCAACCCTGGCGCCATTATATTCAAATCCCTTTGCAACGTATTTTTCAAATTTTCATCAATCGTGTCAAAAAGATCGATGTAAACCTTTTGCAAGGTATGAATCGAACAAAACTGGTTCAGCTCGTGATGAACTTTGTTGAAGATAAGTGTCTTATCGTAATCAGCCGTGTAATTCTTCACCACATTCCAAGCAAACCCAGCTGACAGGAGATTCACTACTTCAATCCGGTCAAAATATATCATCGCACCGCCGGAAGTACCACAAGGAACATTCTTCACTTGATCGGTTTGAATCGTGATTTGAATTGAGCGGTACGTCGTGAGGATCGGGATCATCATATGGAACCCTGGGGTGGACGTTTCCTCCAACAGCGCCCCTGCACGGTAATACACTCCGATATGACCTGAATCCCAAGATATTTACGACATCCGTTAGAATTTTAAGTAAAAATTAAATAATTCTTTGCTATTTTTAATAATCAATTTGTATCAACCTTCTTCAATTTCGTGATAACTGTCAACCATCAATGCGACGAAGACGGCTACTCCCAAGATAAAAATACCTATCCCAAGTCCCTGTCGTACACTATTTACATAAACACGGAAGTTATCAAATTGTGAGTATTCTCGTCGTTACCATCGTAAATATCGTAAGGCGACATTCCCCTTACGTGCCAATTTACGCTATTTACGATAGTATGTAACTTGAATACTCCTGACAAAAAACATTTAATTTATTCTTCAGCCTAAACTACATTTCTACTTACGTAATTGGAAACACAATCCGTGGATCATCCGGCATCTTGAAGTTAATTTAAGAAAACAAGTATTCTCTTAAATTTAAAAAAATCTCTTATTCCTAATTGAAGCTGGAAAAATTCAGGATCAGAATTACGAAAATGTTCTCCCCTCTCAAATTATTAGCTCCGTCCTAAAAAATTTAATGCTTACTTTTACCTCCTTAAGCTAAGTATTCACCTCATGTTTTTCGCGTGAAAACACACTTTTCGGGTGAAAAGTGAAAAAATTTCGCCCCCATTTCGCCTCACGGTATTCACCTTGGAAAATATTTCGGGTGAAAACTTGGGACGGTTTTTCGCTCGACCGAAATTTATTTGATTTTTTCGGCTGAAGTGAGCCGAAAAAGTTTTCGTCTGAAAAACTTTTTCGGTCGAAATTTGGAGCGCCAATTCCAAATTTTGTTATCATTTCTCTCTTGGATATTCAGATTACGCATTTTGCAATTTCTATTTCTTCTACTAGTTTCGCAAAATTTTACACTTTAGTGAAGTTAGAATATAAAATCATTAAGAATGACAGGTAAGACAGCTACGCGTAAGAAAACTGCTGATCGACCGGAGTCTACAAGACTTACATTGGATGTAAAACGGGCATTGGCAGCTCTGGTGGAAAAGTTTCCAGAAGTTTGGGATTTGACCCACGTCAATTACAAAAATCGAGATGCTCGAGAAGCTTCTTGGACGAAGATTGCGGCAGAAATGAATCTATCAGGTAGAATCTTTGATCTCTATTTATGTGCTCAAAATGAATTTGTTTAATTGAACTGGTTTAAATAACTTTAACAGCTGAACGTTGCAAAGCCGCCTGGGGTTCCCTTCAGGACGCTCTGCGATATCAAAGAACAGGAAAAAAGGGCCCATCTGGCAAAGGCAGTGAGGAGGACCCCTCTCAGACAGAATTTAATTTTGATGAAATAAAATTACTAGAAGGGTGGAACTTGTGGGAATCCATGAAATTCTATGTGCTTTCCAAACCAAGTCGGACGTAAGCAGAGCAGAACAAATATATCAATCCAAATAAGTGAAGTCGGAAGCTAAATAAATGTAATAATATTTATATAATTAGCACGCTGTCCAACATGATCTTTTCATCAACTGCTACTGAAAATAACGACGACAAAGCTCCTCAAGCAGATTCAGGATCAGACGAAGTCGAGTTGACCGAGAATTTAAACCTGTCTACTTCTAATAATGAGGATGACCCACCGTGCGGGAAATCGACTCCGGTTGCAGGAGAAATACGCCCTATCTATTCGCACGTAATTATTTATACATTATTACTCCATTTTAAAATTTAAATTTTCCTTACAATCATTAATCATTACAATTTTCCCCATCAACACAATACTATGATAACCCTGCGAAATCCAGAAAATATGTTTAATAAGGTGAAAAAAAATTGTAGAGTTATGAATTAGTATATGTACTTTATAATTATAAAACACACTGCCCGCACTAATTGGACATTTGATTGCCACGTGCTTTCCATCAATAGCACCAATTGTATTAGGAAAATTCCATAATCCATTGTATTCATTTGAAATTTCTACCCATTCTTGTTTGGTCGGCGGCTGTATATATAAAAATTATGTTCAGCAACAGCTTTAATCCTAGTTTGGTTTTCTTTTCACAACACTTAATTTACAGTAGAAGCTAAATACCTTCATAAATGACGCCTTCAACTCTTCAAATATGGCACGACTAGTTTGTTCAATGATTGGACCAAGACGTTGTTTACTGATTCTATATGTTGATGCCACGTGACGCTGTAGAGACCCAGATGCCAAAAATCTAAATAACAAGCGATGAAAGATATACAAATTATGATAAGTTACCTATTCATTTTCAATAAGCTTACTCAAGTGTTACTGATAGTTTCTCTTGTGGACTTATAGCATCATGTGGACGGGTTGAAACTTTAGGTTCCAGCCTGTGTTGAATAATATTCAGCAATTGATCGAAATCTTGTGGCGACATGTGATAGTTCTCTTGAAAAATGTGTGGAGTAGATCTCATGTCGTCAAACTATTAAAACAATTTAATTCAACTTTAAATTGAATTTTAAATCACAAATAACAAAAATCAAATTACTCACGTCTTTGAAAAACCGTCCTTTAGTGCTCCGAAGCTGAAGGTACGGGTTCACATGATAATTTTTACGTTGCTTGCGCTTACGTCGTTGCAACTGTAGTGCCAGGGTTGTACAAGTTATCACAGTAACTAATTCAATGTCCGAGTCAGACTCCATTGTTTAAATTAAATGTTTAATTTGTGGATTCACAATTCAAATATCTTAGTGGATTTTGAGCTGAGGTCGTGTGTACATAAAATATTTCTAGAGGTGAATACCGCCACTTTTTCAGGCTGAAATTATTCGGAAAAATATTTTGTTTTTCGCCCATCTCGATTTCCCCATCAAAAAATTTCGGGGTAAAAATTTCGACCGGAATTTTTTCGCCCGAAAAAAAATAGGTGAATACTTAGCTTTACTCACTATTTTTTACTCTTCTACTGTCTTATGTATCCTTACAGTCGTAAATTTTGTCAAACCTTATCCCATCTTTGGCACAAATTACATTCTAAAAATAAAAATATTATTTACTTAAACTCTATAATCAATAAACGCATTTAAGTTAACAAACTTATTTTATTTTTTTACTTACCACACGATTAATTATTCTGTCTAATTTCTCCTACCTTATTTAATTCAATTTTTTTCTCCCATTCAAAGCAACACACAGAATTTACCCAAAAACAAGAAAAACCAACCGTAGGATCGGTTCGTATGAGTCAGATCATAAACCCGAGTAAAATAACTTTCATATCCGTAATACCTATAGCTCACTTGTTGCAACTATGTAAGACTGTCCATCGGAGAAAGTAGACCCTCTGCCCATGGAAAGTGTCAGCTCCGGGCAGGGGGACCCAGCACTTTGTTCACAAAGCTTATGCATTTTCCACATTTTCATTTTACTCTCCACAGTTACGGAGCAGAATCCCCACATTTCCCGTTTCACTCGCTCTCGTTTCCTTAAATGTTACGCCACTAATCTATATTTTGCAGAACTGTCTACCAAACGTAATTACATGATGCATGCTGATAAAAAAGACAAGTTTAGCAAAAATTTGCACAAAAAACCTTGAATTTCAACCCCAATTAGATTGTCGTGTGCTCTACATAAAGTGCATGGATGAAGCTTGAATTCGATATAATCATTCCAGTCGTGCTGAACTACAGGAGTATTTGTTAAACATTAGAGGATTTCAAATTAGCATAGAATTACGACGGAGTTATATATCGGCGCGAAATTTGCATATATTACACCGAACACTTGTATATATATAAAACCGTATCATTAATTATGGTTTGATACTGTATAATTTAATTATCATCGCTTCATGATGCTAATTTTGCTCCGAAATACTACCCTAGCGATATTACTCGACACGCATTTCCCACTGTAGCAAAGTTCGTCATCCCAGACAGAGTCCCAGAAATGCATACGTTCTTCCAAAACCGGTGCAAAGATTGTCCTTCTTTCAAACAACGGAGCAGGTCCTGGGAGCTGGTTGCCAAGGACGATATGCACAAAAATCACCAAATAAAGTAAGACGTAGCCGTGAGAAGGGTATGTGAATGGAAATAATATGAAGCAAGTGAGACTTTTTTTAGAGAAAAATAAATAAAAGCTAGTCATCTCCCATTGCATAACAGGACAATCCATTTACCTTACCCTACCAAACCTTTTACTGGACAGGTCATTATTTCCTTTCTTCTTTCTGCATCCTTACTGGAAGGTATGGTGGTGACTGCTAAAAAGGTGCATAATGTGATTTCGTCCAAGGTCACAATACACACCATACCTGCCTGCCTTCAACACATTTATCTCATTCTCGTCCAGAATTTTGTTACAAAACTTTATTCCAAGGAACTAAATTTTTATTTGCTCCGACTTTCACAAAATACATATAGACAGACAGATTGATAATGTGGTTTCACCCTTCCAGATCAGCAAAATGGGTGAAAATTTTTTTTCTCTGTGTCATCCTCACGTCATTTCAAGTTATCTCCGCCATTCCGACCGTTGGTGGTGGCACAAATGACACGGAAGCAGCACGCAACGGCGAACTGTCCTCCTTCGTTGTGCCGGGTAAATACATAAACATACGCTCAAAATAATTCGGAGACAAGAATATTACTTCCGCAGGAAACATAAAATATCGTCGAAAAATTATTTTGAGTGTAATTTCTATATTTAAATCGATAGCAATAAATATGTATCCCAGGAGCTTACCTATACATACATACGTAAAAATTTGAACTATACTGAAAAATCTTTGATACGATGTCGTGGGTGGGTCAGCTTGATTTGATTTGAAATATATTTTACCACACCATTACCTTTTCTAAAAAACATGTCGATTTTGGAGATTCTTTTTTACACCCCCACCCCACCCCCTAACTCTTTTAATTTCTTATCTGAGTGGTGTGGGACACATCGTCAACAAAAACAAAAATCAACAAAAATCAGAACCGTAGATGTAAAAAAAAGTTAGGACAAAATCCGCCAAATTTAGTGATCATTAGAACAGTCTTCAACACGGGTTACGTTGACTGTTGAGAGAAAAGTAACCTGACTTAATGCCAACGGCTACATACGAGGGCGATTCGTAAACATTTTAGAAAACCTTTCAGTACATCTTGCATATTTAGAGGCAGGAGTTTTACCCGTAGATGAAAATTTCTTTTTTTTTTTAATTACAAATTTCCATAAATTGATCCCCCTTAAAGTGGGACGTTCCAACTTCAGGCTAGATCTGTATTTGATGAAATCAGATTTTTGACACCCCTATGAAAAGGCGTGTCAAAACGGCAATGATTTACAAACCATCCACGATCGCATATAAATGTTTTTAAAATTTGTCTTCTAAAATTCCATCCTGACATTGTATTATCCCTATCCGTAGGAATTGGAATAGGGATACTCACTCTTCTAATCGGCTTTGCCGCTGCCGGTGTTCACGAAATTGAGGAAGGTAAATTAACACCTATATAAAATTAGTAATGTTTATCTGAAAATCTATCCTTTTTCCTATACATATTTCCATCTGCAGGTCACATTGGAGTTTATTACCGTGGAGGAGCATTACTACCGACCGTCTCCGACCCAGGTTTCCACATGATGCTGCCTATATTCACACGGACTCGTTCAATCCAAATAACCCTGCATACCGATGAAGTGAGAAATGTCCCCTGTGGTACATCCGGCGGTGTGATGATTTACTTTGAACTAATTGAAGTTGTCAACATTTTGTCGGCGGAAGCTGCTTGGAACATTGTCAAGAATTATACTCCTGATTACGACACGACCCTCATATACAATAAAGTTCACCATGAACTCAATCAATTCTGCTCGATTCACACACTTCAAGAAGTTTACATTGATCTTTTCGATCAAATTGATGAAAATCTTAAACAAGCCTTGCAAAATGACTTGAACGTAATGGCGCCTGGGTTGTATATACAGTCCGTTCGTGTCACAAAGGTAAGATTTCGCAGTACTGTGTTACCTACATGGCCCAAGCAAGGAGTTGGACCGGTTGCTGAACAATTTTATTAAGAATTCTTGGTTCAATTTGCTTACAACTGTTCCTAAAATCGAATCCATGTCATACTAACCCCGTCAGATTAAACCCCGACAGATTGACGCAGCCATATTGAACCAGCGATACATAGACCCCATGCTTCATTGGCTAATTGGGTCAATCTGTTGTGGGTCAATATGACATGAAATCAACCCCACATAATTCAAAGGCAAGACAAATGCATTTTTTATCCGTAACCTGGTATTACTCTCGTAATCCCCGGAACATAAATTTTTTCAATAGAGTTGTATACTTTTTTAACCCAAAAATACCCTGGAGCATGTTACTACATTTTCAAATCTTGCTACGAAAACTTTTGGACAATTTATTTTTGAGTTTAAAAAGTACCCTCAAAATAATTTTGTAGCGAACCGTTACCGGGCGGGGTTACTATGATGCTCTACCTTGCTTTTTAGAAATTATTGTCAAATGGTAACAAGCATTTCTAGAAAATTCAAATTTCTCACCGTTCTGTATAAATTTACCCAGCGGGGATTGATAAATTTGAATTTCGTGGAAATATTTATGTACTTGTTACAATTCTGTGTAACAATTTCTAACCAGCACCGTAGAGCACCATAGCAACTCCGGTAACGATTCGTTCCAAAATTATTTTGAGTGCATTTAAAAGTTGTTCAGTTTTGGAAGAATTATGTAATCACACAAATTTCCGTGAGTATTCACGTCAACGCTCCGTAACCTTCGTAATTTTGTAAACTTCATAGCTCACTAATATTTTTTTTTATTATGAATGAGTTACAAAGGTTACGAAGCGTTGACGTGAGTACCCCCATTACATAGTTTATTTTGTCTAAATTTTTTTCTAAATTTTGTCAATATGAAGCCCACAATCCCATCCAACATCCAAACAAACTATCAATTGATGGAAGGCGAAAAAACAAAGTAAATACATACAGTGTCGGACAGATGTCTACGTCCACATAGTCGCGTCAATTTCATTTTCAAATTGTCACTGAACTACTGAACCAATTTTCATCATTGATATATCAAATTCTCACAAATTTAACGTAATTTCATAAAACATGAGTTATTTCTGAAAATTCTGGGAAAACTGAGAATCATAGTGCAGAGCGAGAGAGGATGAAATTTGAGCGGACAAAAGTCTACGTCCACTTCACTTTAATTGTCAACAACAAAAATCTCTCCAATTTATAAAATCAGGTAACTTAATAAATCTATCAATAACATATGCCGCATTAATTTTTAAATAATTTTCTTCCAGAAAAATATGATGGCGTCGACACGCAAGGAAATTCCTATCGCTATTCGAGATCTTGTCATTCAGGACTGGAAGGGTGGACAAAAAGGGGGCTGTCGCAGAGACAAATATGGACCAAGTATAAATTAGCAAGGACAACCATCCAGACAATCATTAAGAACTTTAGAGCTAATGGTTCAGTCCAAAACAAGGTCAGAAGTGGTCGAAAACCGATTTTGGCTCACCGAGAAGTACGCCACGTGCTCAACAAAGTCAACGTTACACCCTCACTTAGTGCTCCAAAGCTATCTACCGAGATCAAGGAGATGTTCGGCAAACAGGTTAGTCCTATGACCATCCAAAGAACACTGAATAAGGGAAATTTGAAATCCCACAGAGCAGTCCGGAAGCCTCTTATTGTACCGAGGAATGCAACCAAACGAGTGAAGTTTGCCAGAGACCACATTTCCAAGCCACAAACATTCTGGGACATATTCTATGGACTGACGAGTCAAAGTTCAATGTCTGTGGGTCAGATGGGCGTCGTAGAGTGTGGAGGTATCCAAAAGAAGCTTTGAATCCAAAAAATCTCAACCCCACAGTTAAGCACGGCGGCGGGTCGGTAATGGTGTGGGGATGCATGGCTTCAAGTGGGGCAGGAAAAATGGAATTTGTTGACGGAATTATGGACCAATACAGGTACCAGGGAATACTTGACCGTAATATCCAGGAATCTGTTCGAAAACTTGGACTTGGACGACGATTTGTCTTCCAACAAGACAACGATCCGAAACACTCTGCCACGTACACCATGGAATACTTCAAGAAAAAAAAATTTCGAAGCTAGAATGGCCTCCCCAATCTCCAGACTTGAATCCCATTGAGCATCTGTGGGACCACATTGAAAGAG